GGGGGGGGGGGGGGGGCACAGATCCTTTTTAATATGCACGCTGGATGCATGAGTGAGCAATACATGTCAAAGCTTCCTCATCTCAAGCTTTTCTCATTTTGTTCTACACACACCAGCACTCTCTTACCCAGCTGGGACAATCCCGAACCACTACAGTGACATTTCCAAACACACGTGAGGTGTACTCCATGAAGGCCGGGTTGTGCAGGCTGCTCTCCAGGTCGCAAGGTCCTACCAGGGCTCCGTGACCCAGGTAGCTCCACAGCAGGCCTCCCTGCAGCTGACCCTGGCCCATGATTTCCTCTCCGGGGCCTACCCCTCCGGGGCACTCGCTGCCCAAAGCCACGATGTGGATGGACCTGCAAGTCAGACAACCTGTGGTTGAGAGTGAATGGAAGTAGCACTCGGGCAGAAGATGATCCCTGGGTAATACTGAAGGAGAAGAAGAACCTCTATTTGCTCTGGTCCTTGTTATTTATGCCAAGCACGAAGACAGTGCATCACGGCTCTGTCACTGAATGACTGAGAAGAGGGTTGCTTTTATTACATCTGGGTGGGTACTGCTTCAACAAATCAGACACTTTTCAGAAATATTTCCAGTGCTGTATTCATATCTATCAGTCGGTGATATATTAACAAAAACAACGCAATGCATATCAGGGAACTCCTTCTTGCTACATCCCTTAATGAGTTGCAGTTATAGATGAACTTACATTGTGGTCACCGCGGTTTTGTTCTGCTGCTCTACGCTATGGAGCCCGTTTCCCTCGCGGTCTGCAGTCAGCTCGGCTTTTCCGCAATGAGCCCCGGCTCCACTCCGTCATCAATCCCTCTCATCGGTGGCTGCCCCCCCGGGAGCCCCACTGCTGGGGAATTTCGCAATCACTCGCATTTCCCCGTCTTGTTATTCATTCATAACAGCGGAGCCCGAAACAGTCCCTAACCGACCGCAGAGGCGCACCGGACAGCCCAGCTGGCGGAGCAGCAGAGCGGGCGGACAGCAGCGCCCATGGGCAGCAAATGTGCTAACAGACAAACAAGTTGTCAGTCGGTAGGAAACACAACTAACGACAAGGAGAGGACAGACTCGCGCCTCCGTGTCCAGACCATATGAATGACGTCGGCGGATGAAGTAAAGTCTCACTAGCAAAGAACAGCTGGGAGGGAGAGAGAGAGAGAGAGAGAGCGAGAGAGCAAAGGAGTGAACCGAGGGTGTTCGCGCCTGACTCAGCAACGCGCACGCGAGCCTGGACGCGCGCCAGCACAAACAAACACAGGAACCAAGATGTAGACGTGCTGGACAAGCCAGTGTTTTGTTTTGTTTTTTTTTTGGTTCACTCAAACATAGTTTAACACGTCTTTGTCTTTTCAAAGCTGCCGTTTCATCTTCAGGAGGGAGAGTGCCCTGCGTCGATACAAAGCGCGCGTGCCATGAACTGTTTTCCCCTTATGCCCATGACTCTCAGACAGTAGACTATTTCAACATATACATAAAAAAACAGAAGAACTGCTAAGATGTGCAAAGCCATCTTAAACATGGTGGTAAAAATGATTAATGATGAGTGTTGGCTTTGGTGTTGTTGTTGTTGTGGGAGTCAAAAAGGTGATAGGCTACTCCAGGGCTTCCAGAGCTTTTTATGAAGAAGAGCCTTAAAGGTTTAATTGGTGAATAATGCAAGACATAAAAACCCAATGTAGCTGTTTAGACCTTGGGTTTAAAATGCCAACAACACTGTAAATCTGTGCTGCTACGCTCTGTGCAAAACTCTCCATCTGGAATAAGACATGTTAGCACTGCTAAGCAGTCTGCTCTTTAACCTTACAAACAGCCTTTCATTTGACCTACTGCAAATGACCACCTGCACATTATGGTCTCTGCCTTGTAGCAAGAGTCTCAATTTGACTGCATAATCATATTTTAATATTTAGTACCTCACCCCCATTCGTTACATGTAACCCAGGGCCCTGTGCCTTTCTTGTTTGTATTTGAAGCGTCCCATGAGCCAAGACCTTCAGACTGTGCTGTGAGTTTTCTGTAGGCCAGCTACAGGGACCAACATCATTCATGCATAGAGAAGCTTCATACCCCATAGCCTTTGTGTTTTCAACCCATGGTATTTGCAGTTCTGGAGCACTGTTTCAGACTGCACTGTGGGTGCAGAAACAGAGAACTGGAATGTGACAAACTGTCTCCACCATTTACATCAAATAGTTAGGAAATAATATAACATAACTTAGCATGTAAAGTATGCAATAAATTATGATTTCACTTTTTTCACATAAGTCACATTATTGGCATTTGGAATATTTGTTTAAAATATATGACAAATATGTTAAATTTGATTGTTCCAACACATGCAATACATAGCCTCTACAGTGACATCATAATAACTTCATCAGGGTTACTTTCTGTACTTAAGACATCTGATCTAAGCCTTTATAAAATGCATTGTGGGTATTGTAGGATGTCAGCAATCCTGGAGACTGACCTATTCTGATTAAAGTACATCTACAAGTCAAAATATTTAAGCCACTGATTTACAGATTTTGAACTTTAATTTTTCAGCCAACATATCTCCCAAAATGTCAAACTATTCCAATGTAGAATAACCTGTAGAACAGTAAGTGCATGTCTTTCAATGTCTGACATCCAGTCTGTACCATCATCATGTAGTCATTTAGAGGAGATCAGAGGAGACAATAAGAGACATCTGTTGTTATTCTGACGGTGAGTCCTCCGCAGCTATGGCCCTTTCCACTTTGCCCTTTTCTCCCTGGAAGTGGTCTGAATCAATAAAGCACTTTTCCTCAGAGAGCTTGACATAGAGTTCCCCGTTGGTCTCTGTGACTGTGTGAACCCGCTGTTTCACACCCTTGGAAAACCATTTGGGCAGAGGTGGCTTTTCCATACGGTTGATGGCCTTATATAAGCACTCCCCATTGGCCAGAGAGAGCTTGTACTTGTGCTTTGGACAAATTATGCACATCTTGCCATCAATTTCCTGTGTGTGTGAGTGTGTGAAAGAAAGGAGGTTAATAATCTCATGTGGGCTAATAGGTCATTTCATCTGTTTGGCACGTCAACATTTGCATAACAATATATTAATATTATGAAAATTTGATATCATAATTACAATATCTCTATATGGTTCATTCAACACTTGCTTTTTAGGAGTTTTAGTACAAATAGAAAGCACGAATGGGATCAAAACAGAAATGTACAGTCCAGTACATTAACTTAAAAATGACATTTTGGCTTCTTTCCTCAAGGTCAGACAAAAAGCAACCTCTAATCCATTAAGACTAATGCAAACCTCACCTCAATGTCTCCATTTTGCAACAGTGCCCCAGCATCTGTCAGGAAGGCAGAGGATCAGTGTATTGCAGAATAAGCATAGAGTTTACAGCACAATGACATTTTGCTGACTGGACACACTTCCGAGGTGATATGTGCTAAACTGATAATACAGTAAGGCAGGCAAGTGTCCTGTAACAGAGTTTCTGTTAGCAGTGGCTTGTTTTTGAAATGGCTCAGTGAAGTTAAGCATTTGTCAAAAGCACTCTTGACCCACGTGAGAATTTATTGAATAAACTATAATGGTCAGTCATATTAGTTGTCAAACATGATCAGATTTTGAGGAAAACTAAAGCATAACTGTCACAATTTTATGTCTCTCATACAATAAGTAGCAGTTGTTTTGAGTTCAGAGAAAAGAATGGTGCTCACGATAGCAGTAAGCATCCATAGCATGAAAGCCTCCCTGGTGGTAGATGATGAGTATATCTCGACCCTCTAGTGTTCGGAGAGAGCGATTTGCTTCAATTAGCTCATCCTTCCTCCCCACAAAATGAAGACCTCCTGTAGGCTGCTCCTTCTCCCCCATGGCACTGGGAAATACTGTTTAGAAGGCAAGCAGGAAACGTCACAGCTTATTATTTATTGTATAGAAGTGTGTGATTTAAAAAAAATTTTTTTGAGGGTTAAATTAACCTTAATTATTTTAGTTTACGTTAATTAGTTTAGTTAGGTATAAGTGAACAAAAAATTATATACAAGGCCTTACAATTTAATATTTCCCTAGATTTATACTGGATTGCTTTGAAAATGTTCCTTAAATTAAATTACAAGATTGCTTGTAACTATCCTGCAATTGATGCCATTTGTGCAGTAAAGTAACTGTCCTGTATTTCTTGGTGATAACTTTTACTAAAACCTTGACTCTTTTGGATTTGTCACTGGGATTATTTTGTGTTAGCACCTCCCATCACAGCTGTCATTTTAAATTAAGTCCACATCACCTCCAGAACACTCAGCGTCATTAATCCAAGCAAGGCACTGAACAGCTCTAACCCCAAACTAATTCAGTCAATGTTAATCCCTAATATCAGTCTCATCATCAACAGCTTAGAGGTTAAATTGTGTTTATTCACAATTAACATTTGTTTTCCTTTCAGTGTGTGTCCTAGATTTAAAATAGAATATCGACTGACCAGTGATTGCAGTATGGGAGCTTCATCGAGTGACACGCATGGGCCAAAGAAAATTACATAAAACATAAATTTGGCTGTCATCTTTCTTTCTACAAGTGAATCAGTCATCTAGAAACCACAGTCCCGCATCATGTCAGTGCCCTCTGACAGTATATACCAACAATATGCAGGGTAACTTTACTCCACATGTGAGTGGAATAATGACAACTTTACTGCAGGCTTAGTAAGCACAGTAGCAAGAAAAGTCACATGTCCTGATGCTGCTGACTAAACCACAGACAGCTACATGACATGAAGGAAAGAGATACAGAACAGCAAATAAATATTTATATCCAGAAAATGATTAATTTTCTTCAAGGGAGCTGTAAGAACTACAAGCTAAATTTGTTCATTTCTTCAGATATGTTATGTTTATGTATCCTCAAAACTCAGCAGCAGTGTTTCCTCCGTTAAGCTTAACAAATGTACTGCTAACAGCCTGGAGTTGCGTAGGAAGAGGGGCCCATCTCTATTATCACCTGACACAAGCTGTCTTCAGTTGGCCCTATCTACTCTGGTTACATTTCTTATCTACATTATATACATTTATCATAAAGCCACTTGTTTAATGTGTTTCTGGGAGACATTTCCAACAGGATTAAGTCATTGATTAAATTATTTAAAAATATGTATTCTTATTGATTAGGGCATAATACAGTACTTGTACTTGTTTCTACTACTACTACTACTACTACTACTACTACTACTACTAATTTCAGAGGGAAATATACTGTTATTTTTACTCCAATGCATTTATTAGCAGTGCAGGTACAGTTGCTACTTTTTTGGACAAGAACATTATATTTTTAATTGAATGAAATTTTTATTTTTAATTGTTATAGATTATTATACTCAACAAGTTCTTATAACAATTATCTGTAATAACAACAATATCCCTGAATATATAGGCCTATAAAATAATGTAATATGATGTATGCCACATTAATATTTGATTACTGAATAATGAGTAGTTTTGCTTTTGATGACTTGATGTCACTTTAGTACTGCTACTAGTTGCCTACTGTCAGAGCAGTTATCCAATGTGGAACTATATGTGCCAGTGTAAAGGTACCCGGAAACATTTCTCAGGACACCGCTGAGCAACGCTATGCTTTCATCCGGTGAGAAACAGCGAGCATACTCGAATCTGGTCACAGAAAATACATTGATCGTAAGTTGATTATATTTTTGTGAAAATTAATAGCTAGGTACCTGTAACATTGACAGTTTATGCATGAAGGGCAGAACAGCGAGAACATTCCTTAAAAACATCCACAAATAAAATAAAAACCATTAGCTGGTTGAACAACGTCAGTTACTCTAATGCCTGTGAAGCTAGTGCTAGCTAATCTGTGGTTTCCTTATCCGTAAGTAAAAACAAAAATTGGGGTTATTTCCTGTTTATAACGTTAGCGATACGATCACGAATACGATAAGACTAATAAAAGTCGTATAGTCTTCGCAATGTTTTTGTAAAATAAATATCCTTTAGTCTTGCCTGTCAGGCTCAGGCTCGAGACAGAAGAAACACTGGTGAACTTTGATTATAACGCACCAAATTTTGTCACGTGACGTTAA